GAGAAAAAAGAAGAGAGGGAGAAGCCGGAACAGGCGGCGAGGAGAGGGAAAGGTAAGAGGAGAAGAAGCAAGAGAGAGAGAGAGAGGATGGAAGCAGAGGAAGGCATGGGCACGAAAACGATAGAGACGAGAGATTAGGATTGTGGGAAGCCTTGTCTAGATTATTGCCGAGGTCATAACAACAACCAACCGCAGGGGGGGCTTTGTTGGATTTTCGGTTGTCAGATTTCTATCAGGATTGATAGAAAATTGAATTAGGAGTTCACAGCACGGCCTCTCAAAATGCCCTTTTTCTTTGTGGTATTTTTCTGTTATGTCTGTATCAGAACAGCTCATGACCTATGTGCTTGTATGTGTGTTGTGTGTGTGTGTGTAAGTTGTGTTGTATGATGAACATACGTTAGACTTATATTATTATATTATATATTAATATATATATATATACTATTATATATAGTATATATATATTATGTATGTTGTGTGTGTGTGTGTGTGTGTGTGTGTGTGTGTGGTGTGGTGTGTGTGGTGTGTGTGTGTCGTTGCGTGTCCCGTATGTGTGCGTGTGCTGTGGTGTGTGTGTGTGTGTGGGTTAGTAGCATATATAACATCATAACATTACATTAACATATATATATATATTATTATATATAATTATATTATAACATATTATCTTATTTCATATATATATATTTATATATATATAAATATATATTACATATATTGTTATATATTATATATATTAGTTTACAGTATTATATGCATTGCATATATTCGCTTTATTCCCACTTATGAAAGATGGAGTGAGGCACTTTAATTTAACAGCTGAGGCAAGGTATGCAAACGAAGTCGAGTGGCTGGGACTGAAGCTTCCCGCAGTCGCCCTCAAATTGGGAAACGCCGAAGTGTGCGAGAATGGAACCGCTGTTTGTGAAAAACTATTGCTTTAATAAGTTTCGTTATTTCTTTAAGCTGCATCTTACATTAAAACAAACATACATTATATTATACTATATATATATTACTATAATATATATATTTATATATTATATACTATATATATTGTGTGTTGTGTTGTGTGTGTGGTGTTTGTGTGTGTTGTGTGTATGTGTGTTGTGTTTGTAGTGTGTGTGTTTTGTGTGTGTTTGTGTGGTGGTGTGTGTGTAGTGTGTGTGTGTTTGTGTGTGTGTGTTGTGTGTGTGTGTTTGTGTGTGTGTGTGTTTTGGTGGTGTGTGTGTTGTGTGTGTTTGTGTTGTGTGTGTGTGTGTGTGTGTGTGTGTGTTATGTGT